ATTATTTGCAAATTATGACACCAGTTACCTCTGTGCCTGGTTCCCTGACCTTGAAGAAATTCTTCTCCTGCCTCCTTGGTGCTTAGAGGGTTTAACAAATAAATTCTTGGGTTGGAATCAGACTGAGGAAAGCAGATGATGAGTATTTAAGATCTCGGCTTATATGCAGTGATTGTAGTAACAAGAAACACTTAAGATATTGCCTAATCCTTGTATTACTAAGATTTTGCCTTCTGCGCCATGGAGGAATAGATGCTATATTGATTTGCGCCCTATAAATGCTTCTGCTTACTACTCCTTAGAAATTCTGTGGTGCAGTTTTCTGGGTTGGGTGGCCTACGCTCTGTTTTCTTTGTATCAGGCTTGGCAGTCTCAGCTTTGTCAGAACAGTAAATAGAAAGGATCAAGTGCTAATTTGAATCTCTTATTCTGTACTTAACCTGATCCTGGGCATTAAACCTTTGACTTTTCCATGAACTGATGGTGCCAGTTTCCCCATGGCTGACTTCTTCCCCTGGGGACGCTTTCTTTAATGTTTTATTTATGTGCAGCCTTGTAGAAGGCTTAAGCTGTGCTGTGCTATGTCTCTTCAATGTTTTGTGTGTGAACTGGAAGCTAATTCACAAGTGAAAACCTGCCACTGGGTGATTGGTTTATAACTTTTCCTTACAGCTGGGAGTTGGGGGATTGAGTCTTCTAGCCAGTCCTGACTGTAGCTGCTGTTTTCCCAAGACTGTAAGTGATTTTTATTTTTTATTTTTATTTATTTTTTTTGGTCAGAAGATTGTGCTTTCCTTTGTACCTGTGTACTGAGAGGTGCCGGCAGATAGTTTCTCTCAGCAGTGCTCTTCCAGACTGACCCAAATCAATCTTCCTTAAAGAATCTGGCATTAAAAACCCCAGGATGATCTGTATTGCACTGTGGGTGGCTTTTTAGGTTAGCAGCAGCAGGAGGCAGAGAGTTTGGGAGAACATCTTTGGTTTTGATTCTGCAGTCCGCTCCATTTGAAGGGGTCTGCACTGTTTGAAAAATTGGGGCCTAAGACAGTCTCTCAGCCTCCTTTGGGTACCCCATGGAACTGCTAACCTAGAAGGCAACCCACAACTAGACAAATCATTGCAGGATGAGGGCCTTAATGTATAGGCCCCGGGGGTTATGGCCAAGTAAAATGCTCTCTGTATGGGTGCAAAACTGCTGTGATTAGTGACATCCAGGCTGAGAGAGCTCTTGGAATTGGTTCTCATTTGCAGATCAGTAGGATCTAAGGCCCTCCTCTTGCACCTAGTTGTGGTGTGGACTCCTGCACCCATGCACAGCAGTGTTCCTCTCAATACATTGCCCGAATGGAGCCATTGCAGGACCAGCCTTTAAAGTCATGTTGTAAAAACTTATTTCCAGGTTTATGGCTCTCAGAGGTTGCGTCTAGACTGGCAAGTTTTTCTTTTGCGGAAAAACTTGCCAGCTGTCTACACTGGCCACTTGAATTTGCGCAAGAACACTGACGATCTAATGTATGATCGTCAGTGTTCTTGAGCAAATACAAGGACTTTCCCATTCGGGAAAAAGCCCTCTTGCGCAAATGCTTTTGCGCAAGAGGGCCAGTATAGACAACTGGGAACCGTTTTGCGCAAAAAAGCCGATGGCAATCGGGGCTTTCTTGCGCAAAACCACATTTAGATTGGCACGGACGCTTTTCCGCAAAAAGTGCTTTTGCGCAAAAGTGTCCGTGCCAATCTAGACGCTCTTTTCCGCAAATGCTTTTAATGGAAAAACTTGTCCGCTAAAAGCATGTGCGGAAAATCATGCCAGTCTAGACGTAGCCAGAGTGTTTGTTATAATAGGTGGGAGGAGTGATTTTTCCAGCAGGGTTGCCTTATCCCCATTTAATAGCAATTATATTTTGGATTTTACATTTTGGGAATTCACCCTGATAAACTCAAACACTCTTTTATTCTAGTTGAAAAATAACTTGTCTGCACAGGGGCCTGCACCAGCAGCAAGATTTAATATTGCTGTAAGTTAAAATGTTGCAATTGTCTTTTGAAGCTAAACCCTAGGTCACATGGCAAAAGGAATCCTTCTTGGGTAAGATAGCTCTGTGTGTTTGTTTGACATGGATCTGCTGGCTCTGAGCATGGCAGAGCGGTGTTTTGCAACTGGAAATATTGAGTAACCAGTTTTTAGTGGGAGTGAAACTGGATGTGACTGTGTAAATCAAGTTCTTCAGCAGTCCACATGGCTTAGGGCAAGTCTACACTACTGTGCTGCATAGGCACAGCTCCAGCGCATCTGCTGAAGACTCGCGATGCTGATGGGAGAGCACTTTTCTGCCGGCATAATTACAGTATTCCACTTCTGCAAGAGGTGAAAGTTCCTTTGGCGGCAGAGCATCTCCCGCCAACACGACACTGTGCACACAAGTGCTTGTGCCAGCAAAACTTATGTTGCTCAGAGGGTGTTTTATTCACACCCCCGAGGGACAAAAGTTTTGCTGGTGTAAATGTGAAGTGTAGTTGTGGCCTAAATCAGCTTACTTGTGTTCTAGGTGGTTGGTCCCCTGCACCTCACAGATGGTAGCATTCCGGCTGTGCTCCTCTAATACAGTGTTTCTCAACCTTTTTTTTAATAAAGTACCTCTTTAAAAAAAATTATAAGTACTCCCAGTACCTATAGTTTTCAGACATAAATTTTTTTTTACTATTGCACCACATTTGTTTAAACAACTTAATCGTAGCCAGGTGGGCGATGAAATTTTTGGGTGTAAAAAGTACAAAAATAACAAGGCGCTATAAAACTTAAAACAAATATTCACTTTTTTTTTCCAAATTTTAGTTGTGTTGACATAGCCCCCAGACTTCTCTCAAGTACCCCTAAAACACAAGACAGGACTATGCAGCACTTGAAGATGGTTTATTAGGTGATGATCTTTCGTGGGCCAGACCCACTCAAATTTGATCTGGTGAAGAAGCAAAGATGGAGGGGTAGGAGAATTACAGTGGATGGTTGAGGAGAGATAATAGGAATTAGACTGATGAGCTTTCAGGCGCTCCAGGAGAAAAAAAGAATTCATCCCAGGTTGTCTCTTGAGAGACTGTTCCATGTTGTGGTAAATATGAAGCTGTCTTCTGTTGCCCTTCACTAAATGCCAGTGCAGGTCAGGTGAGAATTGCCTCTATCTGACATTCTGTCAGGGTGTGACATCCTTCCTTGGCAGTCCACCCGCCTCCCCCCCCTCCGGGTAGTCTTTCTTGTGTTTGAAAGTGTCAAGGAAACACCTTCCATGCTGTTCTTTGTACCTGAAACCCCACCTGTCAGTAGAGCCCTGTGTGGATACAAAATTTGTGTCTGCATCTGTGTCTGCCGAAAGGAGCCGTGGATATCCATGGATTTGCAGGGCTGTACCAATCAGCCTGGATTAGGGGAAAAGCCCATTGTTTAGTAGTATGACAGCAATGCCAAGAGGCCTTTGCTGTATACAGGCACCTGCCCTGCTAGGGGCTGTGCACGCCAGTAATGGGAGACAGTCTCTGCCCCAAGGAGCTTATGGCCTGAAACAGATGAGACTGACAAAAGGTGGGAGAAGGGGAGTACTGTTGTTCCCATTTTACAGCTGGGGGACCTAAGGCACAGACAGAGCGAGGCTTGGGTCACGAGCACACCTTTCAGCACTTTAACTTAGTTGGGAAGATGAAGCAGCACATCCCCCCCCCCCCCCACCACCTCTCAGCCTGTTGGCTGA